GTAGCTGCCTGAGCCACCCAGGCGCCCCACTATGGAATATATTTAAAATTTATCAAAGACATATCTTCCTCAAAATACTATGTCCAAACAGTTTCACATGGGACTTTTTAACCTGAAAAGGCAGGTGATCCCAATGTTATCTGTACTGTTCTAGAGTATGAAAAAAGAGGGGGTTTCCATTTTGGAACTATTTGCCCCCAAAAAAGACAGCATAGAGAAAAAAAAAAACTCTAGAATAAGCTCACGCATGAATACAGACATAAAATCTAAATTAAAAAGTAGCAAACAAAGCAACATATTAAGAGACAAATATGGTATGACCAAACATGGTTCATTCTAGGAATAAAAGACAGATTCAATATCAGAAAATCCGTTTAAATAAATTGCCATATCAGATTTCAATATATAAATATATTACCATTCCCTTAGACACTGACAAATGTTAGAAAAAATTCAATACCTGTTCTGTTAAACTTTTAAACTGTAAGCAGTAAGTACATCAGTAACATGATAAAACATATTTATCTCAATCTCCAAACCAACATTTATGCTAAATGAAGATAGATTAGAAACATCCTCATTAAAATTAATAAGATACAAATGTAAATACAATAGTACTGGATAAAATTTCACCTTACAAGCTGTACAACAGTATATCAGGGTAACAATGGAAAGAAATACAAGTTAAGTATTTTATTGTATGGTCTTGAGTAATTACATTTTTGTAGAAGAACAAATGACACAATGAGAGATGTCCAAAAATAAACTGTAGTCAATCTAATTTTCATTACTATGTACGAATGCACCCCAAAAGAAAATGCATGATAATGAAGCTTTGCTGTTCACCTATTTAAGTGTTTAAGGGATTCAAAGATGATAGATTATCTGAAACTAATACAATGTTACATGTCAATTATATCTCAATAAAAAAATAAACATTTTTACGTGATTCATGTTGCTATAATAATTCCATATATATCCCTTTTAATGATTGCATAAAATAGCATTCAGAGAAGATACCTAAAATGTTACACTTTGGGAATAAGGATAAGGATATTTAAGTTCATTAGCATAAATAATGCTATAGGGACGCCTGGGTGGCTCAGTCCGTTAAGTGTCTGACTCTTGATTTTGGCTCAGGTCATGATCTCAAGGCTGTGAGATCGAGCCCCAAGTCGGGCTTCATGCTCAAAGTTTAAAAAAAAAAAAAAAAAAAAGGTGGTAGAAGTCTAGCTGCTGCTGGAGTAATTGCACAGCCATAAACAAACAAACAAACAAAACAATCCTAAGTTTCACACCTTAAATAAAAATTAGCTCAAGCAGGTCAGAAACTTGAATGAAACTATAAAACTTTTAGAAAAAAGTAGAAAATCTTCAAGATCTAGGCTGGGTGGGGCACCTGGGTGGCTCAGTCGTTAAGCGTCTGCCTTCGGCTCAGGTCATGATCCAGGGTCCTGGGATCGAGCCCCGCATCGGGCTCCCTGTTCGGCAGGAGGCCTGCTTCTCCCTCTCCCACTCGTCCTGCTTGTGTTCCCTCTCTCGCTGTCTCTCTTGTCAAATAAATAAATAAAATCTTTAAAAAAAAAAAAAAGATCTAGGCTGGGCAACGAGTTTTAGACAACACAAAACACCACCCATAAAAGGAAAAATCAATAAATTGGACATTAACAAAGTTAAAAAGTTTGCTCTCTGAAAGACTATTAAGAAGACAAAAAGACAGGCTACAGAATGGGACAAAATATTTACAAAACACATACCTGACAAAGAACTAATATTTAAGATACAGAAACAAATCTCAGCAGAGTTAAAACAGGGAGAGTTTGGTAAAAGGATACAAACATTCAGTTATGAGATGTATAAGGTCTGAGAATCTAAAGTGTAACATGTGTCTCTAGTTGATAACATTGTGTTTTATCACTGGCATATGCTAAGAGTAGAACTTAGATGTTCTCACACAAAAGGTAAATATGTGATGGATGCATTTACTGGAAGGGGGAATCTTTCACAATGTATACATATGTTAAATCATCACATTGTAGACTTTATCTTACAATTTTATTTGTCAGTTATACCATAGTAAAGCTGGGGGGGGGGGCGGTTCCAAACAGTAAAACAAAAACAAAACAAAACAAAAAACCACACACAATCCAATAAAGAGACATTTCACTGAAGAGGATACATGGATTGCAAATGAGCACATGAAAAGATGTTCAATATCATTAGCCAGTTGGGAAATATTAAGAACTTAAAATGACAATGAGATATCACTAAATACCTACCAGAATAACTAAGATAAAAAATAGTGACAACACCAAATGCTGGAGAGAATTTGGAGAAATTGCTTCACTCATAACTTGCTGGTGGGCATACAAAATGGTACAGCAGTTCGGCAGTTTCTGAAAACCTGAACATGCAACTGCCATGCAACCCAGCAAATTGCATTTCTGGACATTTATTCCAGCAAAATGAAGTATCCCAGTCGCACAGAAACCTATACACAAAAGTTGACAGCAATTTTATTCATAAAAGCCCAATACCGGAATCTGTCCAGATGTCCTTCAGTAAGTGAATAGTTAAACTGTGGTATATCCATCACGAAATACTACTCAGCAAGAAAAAGACACAAACTACTGATGTAGGAAACAACTGGGATTAATCTCCAGAGAATTATGCTGAGTAAAAAATGCCAATTTCAAAAGGTCACATACCAAGTGCTTCCATTTATATTACAATCCTGAAACGAGAATTTCAAAATTATAGAAATAGAGAACAGATTAATCGTTATCAGGGATTAAGAATGGGGTGGGGAACAGGTGGAAAGTGGGTATACTATTAAGGGTCAATGTGAGGGATTCTACTGGTGATGGAATGTTCTGTATCTTGACTACATCAATCTCACTATCCTAGTTGTAATATTATAGTGTAGTTTTATAAAATATGACCTTTGGGGAAAACTGGGTAAATGGCACAGATCTCTGCATTATTTCTTATAGCTACTCATGAATGTACAATTATCTCAAAATCCAAATTTAATTTTTAAAAATTTGATACAGAATATTTTTCCTCTTGATAATTACTGACAATGGATATAGTGGAGTTGTTCATGTTTGATACACTCATTATTTCAAGAAAAAGTTTTTTTAAAAATTCATATTCCAATGTCATTACTTGAATGTCAGCTGCAGTTGGGTAGTAATGTGTAGCATCAATTGTTTGCATTATTCTTCAAGTCACCAAGACTCTAAAAAAATCACAACCAATGAGCCTTCTAGAATCCAGTAATATGAATTTCCTTAAATGATATTTTTAAATCTCACATTAATAAGGAATAAGTTTGGATATCGTAGCCTGCACACAGAAATCAGATAGGTCTATAAAGAAAAATGTTTTTTAAATATTCACTATTGAAGGGACACCTGGGTGGCTCAGCCCCTGACTCTTGATTTCAGTTCAGGTCATGATCTCAGGGTGGTGGGATCCAGCCCCACACAGGGCTCCACGCTCAGCGGAGTCTGCTTGAGATTCTCTCTCCCTCTGCTCCTCCCCCGGCTCATGCACTCTCTCTCTCTCTCTAAATTAAATAAATAAAATCTTTAAAAAATATATTAAAGGGCGCCTGGGTGGCTCAGTTGGTTAAGCGACCGCCTTAGGTTCAGGTCATGATCCTGGAGTCCCGGGATCGAGCCCCGCATCGGGCTCCCTGCTCGGCAGGGAGTCTGCTTCTCCCTCTGACCCTCCCCCCTCTCATGTGCTCTCTCTCAAATAAATAAATAAAATCTTTTAAAAAATTAAATAAATAAATAAAAATTAAAAATATTAAAAAGTCACTATTTGAATATGTTTGCTATTTGAAATGACTGGGGAATGCTTGTTTCCATCAAAGAAGTAAAAAATGTAAATACTGTGAAATTGACATATATTTCAAATGCATTTGAAAGTTAAAGTCCTTCTTAAACTGATCATTACTGACTGGATATAGCAGAGTTGATAATTACTGACAATGGATATAGCGGAAGAAAATAAAATCAATCTCCCTAAAATGAAAGAATTACGGTGATATTTATCAAGAAATTTGTATTGCGTTAACCCCATTTACCAACATCTTTCAAAAATTTCTATCTTTGCATGAGTTAAATAACATAGGCTTAAGGACAGATTTGGAAATATACTGACATTGACTATCATGGTTATATTTAAAGATCGCTGTGATTAATCCGTTTGTGATTATGTAAAACAGCATCAGGATAATGTAGGTAGGTCAAATACCTGTTCCACTGTTGCCTGATTTAATCCGTGTGAAGAGGAAACGTTTTAGATCTAATTCAAACTTTTACATCCACTTATTTGGAAGCAAGGTACACTTTTATAATAGTACCTCCAACTATATATTTGTTTTGAAACAGATTTCAATTGCAGCTACTGCAAAGGTGAATAAGAGGTAAACTGCTAATATGTAATGGATTTGACATTCCTTTCAACTTAGAACTAAATTAACATAGATGTTGCATTAATAGGAATCGTATCAATTTATCAATACTGTTTTCAAATAAAGTGAGTCGTTTAAAGTTTAGTTGCGTAAGAAATCCGTGATATGAAATTGGCATCTTGACTCTGGGCTGTATGTAAATTGAGGGCGAGGAAGAAACCGACTGAGAGGGCAGCCACGCTCGCTGGGAGCGCGGCAGTTGTTCGTGGAGAGGGCGCCCCCTGGAGGCCATGGCCGTTCCTCGCTCTTTGGCCCACTGGTCTCTGGCCCGCACCTGCCAAGGAAAGCGAGTATTTTTCTCGTTTATCCAACATGAGTATGACGCCACGCTGTGTGCCAAGCGCCAGGAGCGCACCGCGGCAAAACAGAGTGCTAAGGAAGAATAGGGACGCGAAAGCCGGCGCAGGTACGAGCCATCCCGGAATCCGCCCAAACCCACAACCGACCCCAGGTTCTGCTGGGAGCTTGGCCCTGCGCGCGGCCGGGGGCGGGGCTTGTCGCCGGGGGCGGGGCCTGTCGCCTGGGGAAACCACCCGCGGGCCGCGCGCGCTGCCAGGCCCGGGGTTCCGGTGAGCGGCTGCTGGTAGACGCCCTGAACGGTTGCCTCCCAACGGACGCCAGTGGCGGGAGAGGGGTCCCTGAGGCTCCGGGCACCGAGGCCCCTGCGACTGCGACCGGGGCAGTGGCGAGTCCCCGGTCGCCCTTTCGACGCCGCGACGGGCTGCAGCGACAGTGGCTATGGTTCGGGTTGGTTGCGACGGGCCCGGGTGGGCCTCGGGGCCCGGTGGCCGACCGGCCTTTGCCCGCCCCAGCCCCCTACAGCTGGAGGTGTGCGTCCCCCCCGTGGGGGAGAGGCGGAAGTGCGGGCGCGGGTTCGCAAAGTCGCCTCTCCTCGCCTTGACCGGTCCGCCCTCGCGGGGTCAGCGGCCGGAAGCCGGGCCGCCGCTCCCACCAACTCCGGCGGAGGGAGCTTCCGGAATTCCCTCCCTGGCGGCGCCTGTTTGTGGCTTGGAGAGGGGAACGCTGACTCTGAAGCAGCCTCGAAGGGACTCCTGCTCAGGCCTGGAGTCTCGTTGCAGGTGTCAGTCTGTTGTTACCCAGCTTGGGGTCCCAGAAGCTTGACCTCACGAATACCCGGGGTACTCAGTGGTTTAATCAGCAAAGGCAAGTTTTACCCACCGCCTTGATCCCCTCACTACTTTTTCCCAAAGGGTTCTCACTGGCCTCAACACCTCTTCCTCAGTGAATTCTAGTACACATTATTTTGGGGTCTCCTTTAAGGTTCAGGTCCTCAGGGATAGACTAGGTAATGTCACCACTTCCTTGCTTCCTCCAGGGACGGAAGCCTCTAGGGGCACCAGCTTCACAGAGGTCCAGCCTTGCAGTCACACAAGGCTCCGTGCTCAGAAGGAGGGCCTTGCACTTGTTTAAATGCTCTGCAGTCACAGCTCGAAGTTCTTAATTTTTTTTTTAAAGATTTTATTTATTTATTTGACACAGAGAGAGAGAGAGAGCACAAGCGGGGGGAGAGGGAGAAGCAGGCTTCCCGCTGAGCAGGGAGCCCGATGCGGGGCTGGATCGCAGGACCCTGGGATCATGACCTGAGCCGAAGGCAGACGCTTAACCGACTGAGCCACCCAGGTGCCCCGAAAGGCCACTGGGCCCAGCAAATTATAAACCTGGTACTGGCCCCAACTCTCATCTTTTCCTGAAGGCCTTCTTTGATAAAATTCAATGATATAAAAAACAGTTAAAAGGGATTCTTCTCTAGACTACTCAGTAGCTACTAAGACATCAAGAAACAGAGGAGGGATGATTCTATTAACTAAACTTAACGGTTGTTGGAATCATGAGACCTTTCTGATCCAGTGCTCACCCCCCACCCCTCATATTTCAGGGCCTTTGAAGGATATGCAGAATGTGAAAGTACCACACTTCTGAAGGCAACGATGTTTGGTTCCTTGCCCAAGGATAGAAGCAGGTGAGAAATCAGCTGTATTAATGGGTGCTCTGGGATTACTTTCACAGATGCCCTGGAAGGGCTGGTGCAGGTGTGGTGGGGGGGGGGGGGGGGAGGACACTTCAGGAAGGAAGCTGAGAGGCTCTATAGCTGTGCTGTCCAGTACCGTAGCCACAAACTACAAGTGGCTATTGTGCCCTTAAAATGGGGCAAGTCTAAAATAAGATGTGCGTCACTCATCATCCGGAAAATGCAAATCAACACTATAATCAACAAATCAACACCTCGCACCTGTCAGAATGACTAAAATCAACAACACAAGAAACAACAGGTGTTGGTGAGGATGTGCAGAAAGGGGAACCCTCTTGCTTTGTTGATGGGAATGCAAACTGGTACAGCCACGATGGAAAACAGTATGGAGTTGCCACAAAAAGTTAAAAGTAGAATTACCCTATGACCCAGCAATTGCACTACTAGGTATTTACCCAAAGAACACAAAAATACTAATTCAAAGAGATACATGCACCCCAGTGTTTATAGCAGCTTTATCTACAATAGCCAAATTATGTAAACATCCCAGGTGTCCATCGACTGATGAATATATAAGGAAGATGTGGTGTATATATATATATATATATATATATACACATACATACACACACACACACACAATGGGATACTACTCAGCGATAAAATACAAAATCTTACCATTTGCAATTACATGGATGGAGCTAGAGAGTATTATGCTAAGTGAAATATGATTTCACTCACATGTGGAATTTAAGAAACAAAATAAATGAGCAAAAGGAAAAAAAAAAGGAGGTAAACCAAGAAACAGACTCTTAACTATAGAGAACAAACTGATGGTTACCAGAAGGGAGGGGGGTGAGGGGATGGGTTAAATAGGTGATGGGGATTAAAGAGGACACTTGTGATGAGCACCACGTAATGTATGGAAGTGTTGAATCACTATATTAATCACCTGAAACTGATGTTACACTGTATATTAACTGGAATTTAAGTACAAACTTAAAAATATAGATGTGAACAGGAGTCTTTAAAAAAATAAAAATAAAATAAGATGTGCTATAAGTGTAAAATGTACACCAGATCACCAGATTTTAATGTCTTGTTTCTTAAAGTAAAATATTTTATTTTTATGATGATTACATGCTAAAATATTTTGAATATATTGAGTTAAATAAAATATATTAAAATTAATTTCACCTGTTCCTTTTTACTTTTTAATGTGAATACTAGAAATTTTATATATGTAGTTCACGTTATGTTTCTTTTGGAGACCACTCTTCTAAAGATTTCAGAGTATTGAAAACTACTTAAAATGTTCAGAAAAACTGCTCCCCAAAAAACTCACATTGCCCTTCCTCTCCCAAAGAATACTCCTGTGTAGTCTAGAACTGCAGAATTATTATAGTCACTCGTACAGGAAAGTCTCAAACTTCTGTCCACTCTTGCCATTGGAACCAATTCAGATGCTGGCAGAACTGTTTCTACTGCTTTGTCTGTTTGTCTGGTTTTGTAGAAGTAAACTAGAGAATGCAGAGAAGGGAAGGAAGAAGTAACAAGGGAAGGTCACTGCACCAACCTTAGCTCTAAATTATTATATTGTTACAAATTATGGGATTACAGCAGCCTTGGCCTGACTCCTTCTTGTCAGTCATACTACCTTAGAAAAATAATTAGCTTTAGTGAAGAAATTGCCTGGTGCACTGGTCTGAAGTATAGATAGGAGCAGAAAATTGTCTATATTCAAGCTCTCACTTGAGCAGCATCCTTCAGTTATGGAAAATACAAGATACTGGGTAGACTCCAGTATCTTCAGTGTTTTGAATGTCTCTTAAAAGCAATGTGGTAAGTGAAGATGTCAGCTCTAAATCAATGTGTATTGGAAGCTAGTCCTAACCCAGTCCTCCTAGAGCCTCTAGTTCCCTGGAAAGTGGCCCTAGTGTGGGAATGTGAGTGAAGCAGGAGGAGGGAGTGGGGAGGACTGGTGCCTTGGAGGGAATAACTTGGAATTCTGGACTTTCTGCAATTTCCAGTAGGTTGAAGCTCAAGCATTTCTCCTGGCACCTAATAAGACATATATCAAATCGATGTACACTAAGAAGAGCTAGCTTGATCTTATCATGATCTTGACTTTAGGCAGTGAAGGCATCTTGACCTATAATCTTTCTCATTAGAAGTTTTAAAACTACAAATTCAATGTCTTTAGTAGACATAGGACTGACTATTCAGGTTATGTATTTAAGTGAGTCTTAGTCATTTGTGTCTTGAAAGGAGTTTGTGTATTTTACCTAAGTTTCGAATTTATGGGCATGCAGTTGTTTGTGATATTGTCATATTCTTTTAATGTCCAAGACCTGTAGTGATGGCCACTTTTTCATTTCATTGCTTTGGTACCTTGTCTTTTTCTCTTTCTTATCAGTCAGGCTACAACAATCTGTTGACATTTGGGGCTGAATAATTATTTATTGTACAGGGTTCACCTTTCTAGGATGTAGGATGTCCAGCAACATTCCTGGCCTTTATTACCCACTAGATGCCAGTAGCATTGCATCTTTATCCCTACCCCACCCCAACTGTAACAATCAGAAATGTCTCAACATTGCCAAATGTCTCCTGAGAGGCAGAATTACTTACTTCTGGTTGAGAACCACTGCGTTAGGCTACCAGTTATCTTTTGGAGCAATTAAAAAAAATAAGAACAAATATATCTTTTGTACTTTACTTTCATTTTAACTATTTCTGGAAATCTTCATTTCTTTGTGTAGATGCAAGTTCTGTTTAGTATCATGTTCTTTCTGTTGAAGGAAGTTGTTTTGACCTTTATTTTAGTGCTGGTCTGTTGATAATAAATTCTCTTGGTTTTGTTTGTTTTTTCGTTTTTTGTCTGTCTTTTGAAGTCTACTTTTCCATCATATCTGAAAGATATTTTCCCTGGGCACAATATTCTGCATTAACAGTATTTTTCCTTTAGTGTTTTACAGTTATTACTCCACTGTATTCTGAGTTGCATAGTTTCTAAGTCAGCTGTAATTCTTTGTTTCTCTGTACTGTATCTTTTCCTCTGTGGCTACTTGCAAGATTTTCTCTTTAACTTTGACTTTTCAGCAGTTTGAATATAATATGTTGGAGTGTGTATTTTTTGGTGTTTATTCTGCTTGGGAATCTGAGCTTTTTGTACCTGTGGTTTGTTATATTTTATTATTTTTGGAAGATTCAGCCATTCTTCAAATGTTTCTTCTGTTATCTCTCTCTCCTTCTTAAATTCCAAATACACTTTTATTAGACTGTTCGATATTTCCTACAACACTTGAACACTTACTTGGGTTTTCTTGACACTTTTTTATCTTTGTATTTTAGTTGGGTAATTTCTATTATAGAGCTTCAATTCATGCTTTCCAAGTTCATGCTGTATCAAGTGTACTGATTGGCTTTTTGAAGGTATTCTTCATCTCTGTTACTGTGTTTTCTGTTAGCATTTCCATTTGACATAGTTTTTATCTCTACTGAAATTTTCTATCTGATCATTCCTGTTATCCACCTTTAATATGTATGATTAATATATTAATTAATGCTATTTTAAATTCCTCTTATAGTTCCAACACTTAGGTTATCTCTGAGCCTCATTCTGTTGGTTGATCTCTCTCTTACCAATGGGTTGTTTTTCTTTTTTTATGTGTCTGATAATTTTCTATCCAATGCTAGGCATCTTGTATAAAACAGTAGAAATTAAGATAATGTATGAGTCAAATAAGCATGTTTCTTCTTCTGCTAGGTCAGTAATGTGGAGTGTTGAATCAATCAGTAGTAAAGCTGGGTTTGGGTTTTATTGTTCTACCTTCAGTACACCATTGATTTCAATTTCCTGTAGTGTTACCTTATACTTAAAGTGTGGGCTGGAATGCTGCAGGGATTTTCTCAATATTCCTTTTCCACTCTCAGCTTCTCACCTTCCTTTTAGCCTGCACCAAAAGTGCCTTTCCCTCTGCTTGTAACCTGCTGCTTGATAGCTTGGTGGTAGTGGGAGGCAGAGGACCAGTCATCTTGGTCCAGCCTCTCTTAAGCAAGCCTTATATGTTTAGGCCTTCAAAGTGGGGCTTCCTCAGCCCCTCAGTCTCCCTATGACAGACAAAATTCTATCTTGCATCTTTGGTGAGTCTTGAGAAGATGAGTCTTCTGATTCCTGTAATTGTATTGACATGAGATCTTGGGCCCAAGACTGTTTCCTGTCCCTTCTTACCCAGGGACAGAAGCTCTTTTTCCTCTCACTCCTACTCTTACCCAATATCAAGGGCCCTTTACCTGAGCCCTGGAGGCAACAGAGTCTGCTGCTCCTTTCCCAGTGGCTTGAAGCTATCATTCATAGGAAGGGGATGGCAGGACTTGGGCATTTTCCACAGTGGGAGCTTACTCTCCTCCAGCAAGGCCTTCCCCTCCAAGGGTGGCGCTCTGTGGTATCCTCCTTGTCCCCACTTTTTCTCATCAGCACCCAGTGAGAACATGGAGAAGAGGCTGTAAGTGGAAACAAGCTCCTTTTTTGTCTGAGGCTCTGAGGGATTATAAACTTTGATCCTTTTCCCCACTTGGCCTTTAGCAATTTGTTAACAATTTTAGCTGAATTCTTAGCACCTTTTATGGTACTTGATGTCTCTTCTACAGTGCTCACATCCTATCTTCTTGGTGGGGCCAGTCTTTCCTTGGAGCTCAGGCAACTTGCTTGGTCTGTGACCCTTGCTAGGATGTTCAACCATCCCAATTTGTGTGGAACTGAGGAGTTTCCCAAGACATGGGACTTGCAGGACTAAAATGAGGAAAAGTCCAGTTAATTACCCTAACCTCAGCTCTCCAACAGGTTTAAGAAAAGATTTTCTATAGTTTTTCTAGTTGTTTAGGTAAGAGTGATGTTCTTTCTAGGTTTCTACATCCTAGGTAGAAGCCAAATTAGTGAAATACACATGTTGAATGTGAACAAAAATTGTTCTTGAGATACTAAAAAACCATATTGTTTTTTACTAAGGCAGACGGATTTTTGTGAAATTTTCCCTAAAATAGAGAATAAGCAAAATTAGTTTAGTCCCTGCCATTCTTTTGTCTGTCAACAACAGATTTATCCTATTACCTAAATAAACTCCAGCTGAAGAGGTAGATTCTTATCTATTCTTCCTATAACTCTACTCAACATTCAGCTAGCACTAGATTTGGATTTTACTTGCAGCAGGTGAGTAGCTCCTATAGATTTTTTAGTGAAACCAAAAAAAAGAAAGAAAGAAAAAATCTTGATGCGCTTTTGTGGAGGACGAATAAGGCTGAGTACAGTAATAGGCTTTCAACAATAGTGACCACCTCTGGGTAAATGTGTATGTACGTGTACACATGTGTGTATAATTTTGCTATCAGCTGTCTGGGAACATACTTGATTTACATTGCCATTGGTAGTACATCTGGTCTTGTGGTTTTTATTTCAGATATCAAGGGAGCCTGGGAGTGTTTGTGACCCCTCCAGCCAGCACTAATGGTAATGAGGTAGGCAGCCTCAAGGCAATGCTTTATATTTTGTGTGATGATGAAGACTCTTTCATTTGCTCAGCTATTCCTTGGAGTATCCAAGAGAAATACTTACAGCTGTTCAATGAGCTTGTAGGCTGTATATATGATATCTTCCTATTAAAATTGTCAATCGTTTGATTATTATAAGAAATATGGCACAGAAACCTTAAGGCCAGGAGCGTGTATAATCTCAACAGCTGTGGGGTTTATATGGCAATAGATATAATAGCTAAGATGTATAGTGTTTATCATGTGTCAAGCATTGTTCTAAGAGTTTTACATCTATCAACATATTGAATCCTCACATATAGAAGCTTCGTAACAATCCAGGGGCATCTGGGTGGCTCAGTCAGTTAAGTGTCTGCCTTCAGCTCAGGTCATGACCCCAGGATCCTGGGATCGACCTCCGTGTTGGGCTCCCTGCTCAGCGGGGAGCCTGCTTCTCCCTCTCCCTCTGCCATTCCCTGTGCATGTGCTCTCTTGCTCTTTCAAATAAGATCTTAAAAAAAAAAAAAAAAACACTTCATAACAATCCTAGGACATTAGGTATTATTATCTACATATTACAGATTAGGAAAATGAGGAACGAAAAAGTTTGGTAATGTGTTCAGGTCACACTGAACAAATGATGACTTAAGCTCATGCAGTCTGTTTCCAGAGTTCTTTTTACCACTATGACAAAGACAAAGAAGAGGTAAAGATTTCAACTTTCAGGAGGGTATATAGTAGTGTGGGAGCTGTGTATAGGTCAACAAAAAAACCTTTCAAATAACATTTTGATTTTAGGTTATGTACCAAGTAGAGATGTATGGAAAGCTAAAAGAGGACATGCTAAGGAAGAGGACTCAAAAAATGATAAAGTGATGTTTTGTACTCACTACAAGTCAACAAAGTATGAATTACACCGACAGGTATGGTCAAATATTTGATTTAAACTTCATGTAATACAGGTAACCCAGTAATGGGGAAATGCTGCAAAAACAACTTGCAGGAAGATCTCTACTTCTCTTCAGGAGATACTTGAATACTTCCCATTTCAAAATTGAAGATGACTTAGATGCTACTTGCCATACAGAAGAAATTGAGGCTGTGAAAATGTTATCAGCTCCATTTATGATTAAGTGACTGAGAATAAAACCAGTGAACGGTATATAAAAGAACTTTGGTTTAAAGGTGACGACGTGGACATTATCAACTCACATGAAGCACAAGGAGATTCACAAATGACTAGAAAATTCCATAACCCTCCAAACCAATCCTTGTAATCATAGGACACCTAGGGGAGCAGGACAGTCAACAGGTACATCCACAACTTTGGTGAAGTCTGTTGGCAGGGACTCTGACTTTCTTGAAAAAGTAGGATGCTTTGAGGGCCTGTGATTGGTTTTTCAAGTCAAAGGATTATAAGAAAATATTGTTTATAACTATGGATGGGATGAAATCTTTAACCTAACTTAAGAGCAATCACCAAAATCCTCTCCATACGTACTGGATGACCTACATGACTTTATACAGCTCTCAATAGGCACTCATTGACATGTGAATTTGATATTCTCATGGAGGCAAAAATAATCTGAGAGTAAGGTGGGAGTACTCAGATTGCATTGAAAGGTATAATAATGCGGAAATTTAATAATGCGGAAATTCTGTAGGATGTTTTCTTAAAGCTAATTTTGACCAGGGACGAAAATGTTGAGAGTGTTGGTAATCTAGTATAGCTTATAGCCCTTAATAAAAGGATGTTATATTTGCTTTACTATAGTACTTGTCCTCCAGACAAGTGAAAGAATTTAACAACCTCAGCTACATTATGATAATCGGGAATTTTCTACTCAAAAGAATTGAGTGAGGATGTACTTTTGAAGGGCCAATTCAGTACTTAAGGCATTGTCAACAATGAGTAGAAAGGGGAGCACTGTTCTACTAGGATCAGCTCTACTCCAAAACTGTGGTTATGCCCTTTTTTTTTTTTAATGAGTATTACTTTCTAAATTGAAATGATCCCACAAAACACTTGGTTTGAGGCTTGGTGAAGGGTGCCTTGTAGATAATGGATGCAGAGGACATTGGTTTGGAGTGTTTAGTGAATGTGGCTTCTCAGGTCTCCCCAGCTGTTCCAAGGACAGGTGTTTAGGCTGGTGATACTCAGGTTCTGCCTGCCCAGGATGGAGAAGCTTTCCAAGCCTCTTATATCCCCAACTACATTGTCCCAAAATTCTAGTATATTACATGGTTACAAAAAAAAAAGCAAGGAATGATCCTTGATCATTAATGATCCTTGCTAGGCTACCAACATTATCTTGCTACATTGCCTACACTTGATATAATAATGATTAGGCATCTTACACAGTCATATTTTGGTGTTGTAAGAAAGAGGAAGTTGTGAAGGGCATATCAATTCAGGTCTGCAATGGTCAGAGGTATAGTGGGAGTTAAGCAAAGCACTCTGGTCAGTTCTTACCACATAAATGGGAAGGTATGTCTGGGTGTTGAAGGTGTTTGTGACCACTCTCATGGTACTTATGGGCCTAACAAAACTCAACTGCATATGTTTTTTCCATGGTCTCAGTAGTTTGCCACACCTGGCTGTGGGAACCGTTTGGTTGTTCAGATACCTGTCTGGAACATCACAAGGCCTAGACAGCCACTGACTAGTTGCCAGGGTCAGAAACTCTGCTGTTATAATTGTTTCCTCACAGAGCAATCATGAGGGCTTGTGTAATAGGATGTGTTGGTGCTATGAATCAAAAATGGCAAGTATTAACTTGTATAACAGTGTAACAAAAGTATTTTGTATAAATATAAGAAACCTGAGTAGGAACTTAAAAGTGCAATCTGCACTGATTAATTTAATTTGGTGCCTCTCAACCTTTTTTTTTTTTTTTCATAGTTCCTCTTCCCACAAAGAGATTTTCTATATTTTCTCTTAAAGTGTTCACAGATTTAAGGCCAGTTGATGAATATTGCTTTTCCCCCATAGGTGAGGATAAATGGAAAGAGTAGGATGGATCTTACTGTTACTACAGGCAGTACTAGGTATTTTATTTTCAGGTTGTATTTGGAGAGAAGCAAGCATCTTTGCCTCTTTGGAGTAGGAAGTTCAGACTGGTAAAAGGTAGCTCTTCTCCCTTTTTTTAATTTAGGGGAAAAATTAAAGTAACTTTTTACATTGGGCACTTTTTCTTGTTAAAAGTTTAAGGTGATTGTTGTTTATTTTTGCAGGTATTCTTACAAAGAACTAAGATTATAAGCAGTGTCATATCTCTGGGTTTTAAACAACTTTTAAACAGGGTTTTCAGAAACCTAGACTACACCTTAGACTAATCCTTGAGTTTTAAAGCTATTTAATTTTGTGAGCTAATTACATTAGGAACTAAAGTGAAGTAGGTAATGTCTTGGAACTTTGCCACCTTTTACACTTTCTACTTTGGGAGTTGATTATAAATGAGGGTGGTGGGATGAAGGTGGATAGAATTAGTGCAGTGGCATTGGACTTACATAATTGAATGGAAAAAGGACAACCATTGATCTCATCATGCATTAAAATATAAACCTGTAATTTAATTATTACACTGTGTAACCACCACTGAGATCAAGAAAGAGAAGATTGCCAGCCTTCCACATGTTGCTTCCAAATTACAACCCTTCTCCCCACAGGTAACCACTATTCTGACCTTAGAGTAATTCCTTTTTTTATAGCAGTGTTCCTCATCTGGCATGAGCATCATCTGGGAACTTGTTAGAAATGCAAATTCTTGGGCCCTTCCCAAGACCTAACACAGTTATACATTTTTGTGTGGGGGATGAATATTTATGTAGTTAAAGTCTACAGCAGTGATTCTCAAGCTTTAGCGTGTATGAGAATGACCTGGATGGCCTATTAAAACAGAGGTGCTGGGGCCTACACCTAGAGTTTTTGATGATCTCTTTCTGGTTGTTTTATTTACTGATGCTAATTTTCTTATGTGCTGGGCATGTTTGACTCTGTGCAAGTCATTGCACTTGAAATGTTATTTTGCAGGAATAACTGTGAGGCCTATAATACAACTACTTTGCTCCAAAGAGTATTTGCATTTGCTTCTGACAGGCACCTGGGGGCACTATCAGTCTGGGATCGCTTGTTCAAAGTTTGATTTTTCCTGGACAACTCAAGGGATTCTTACTTATGTTTTAATTCTCTTTAGATTATCCCAGTTCTTGTTCCCTTCACTCTGAGATCCCGGAACCCAGATTGTTGTAAGGGAAAGACTCCTGTCAGATTCCCCAGCTTGTTTGGATCCAGAGTTTGTCCCCTTCTGTACCCTGAAAGGCCAGGACAATGGAGGGTTTGAGTTCCTGGGATTAGCTAGTACTCTCAGGGAGAAAGTGGCTTCTGGCTTGTTCACCTCTCTAGATTCTTGGCTTCTCTTTACTTTTGGCCTGATAATTCCTTACTATTTTGTAATCTCTTTGATGCTTTTGAAAAGACTATTTTAAATATATTTTATCCAGTTTTTTTAGTCGTTTTCAGTTATAGGACTGATGTGAACAACCTGAACCACCTTTACCAGAAGGGAAATCTGGGAAATAAATTATTAATGCATAGGATTTTTTTCAAAATACTGTGGTTTTTCAAAACATTCAAAATCTGTGGATATTAATATCCTTAAAAAACTTTTGTTTTTAGCTTACAACTTCTCCCAGACGTGGGACACACAAGATGGTTTTAGTATAAAAACTCTCCTTATGAAAAGATTCCCAGGGTTGCATATTTATGACCTTTAACCACTCCAAAAGGCTCTGATATTTCTGGTGGGTTCCAAGGAATGCTTACCACAACTTGAGAAACCCTGACAAAATGCAGAGATGTGCCTAGTACAGGACCCATTTTGCAGTTTATGGGTTTATTTTTGCCTAGAGCTTTAACCAGTCTGGACACACCAAATTTAGGAAGCATAGATGGCTTACACTTTTATCCCTAATGTTTCTGTCTAGGATAACATGTGGAATGCCCCAAACTTTATTTACTGTCAAGTTCTAAGCACTTGATAGATGATATTTTAACCACCTCCCTCTCTCCCCCAGAAGTACGTCATATCATCTTCTTTTCCTGTTTGACGCCTATGTCATGTTGCTCCCTTGAGATAGGCAAGATTCTCAAAGAGAAAATACCCCTTCCCAGTCCATTGCTGACAAATCAGAGTACATTCCTTCCGGATAGGAATGATTCTGTTACATCTATCTTTAGATATCTTTTGAAGGGGATTGGAGATGGAAGTACACTAATGCTACACACGTGCATTTGGAAGGTAAACTGGTAGGCTTTCCAGATGTCAGAGATTGTTAGTAATACGGTGAGACACTTTATCTTGAATACTCTCACTGATGCTTGATGATTAGGATGTGTAGCAATCCGTGTAGGCTAGGTTTGGGATAGGAATGAACAGACTCTGAGAGCTATTTGTAGAGTCCTCTAAGGCTACTTGACAGTCATTTGATGAATGTCAGGATCCCCTGAAGGTGGTAAGGGTTAGTTGTAGTGGAGCACACAACCTCTCTAAGTTGTGTGTCGGGATAAATGCCAGAATTTAATCCTGATGGTAGCAAGCATTAGCGTTATCTCAAATAAAGGCTATAACCCAACTAGTTAGAGCAGAGAATGCCTTAAGGCAGTAGAACACATGCTGCTCCCCAGTACCTTTCTCTGCCTTTCTTTTCCCTCCCTGAGATGTGCCCAAAATCTATGCATAGGCTTATGGTACTAATGCAGGCTGGAAGTCCCACCAGGTCAGAGGGACACTGAGTCTCCTCAGTCTGTGTTTTTCTTTATCAGTTTAGAGCATGATGTCATCGATATCTAAATCAGTAAACCTGGATTCTTGTTACCTTGTTGCTGGACCTAAAGTTCATGTTTTGTGTATAGACTTTCAAACTGTACCCCAGTATGTAGGAACTCTCCAGTTCAGAGCTACAAATAATGGGCATGTGGGTGGGAGGAGGGTGCTTTCCGTATAACACAGGGGCTTTCCAACCGTGGGATTTCTCAAGTCACAATACTTAAAAAGTCATGACCCAATCCACCCCTTAGTTGATAGCTTTTATTTATTTATTTATTTATTTATTTATTTTATTCTTATGTTAATCCCCATACATTACATCATTAGTTTTAGATGAAGTGTTCCATGATTCATTGTTTGTGCATAACACCCAGTGCTCCATGCAGAATGTGCCCTCCTCAATACCCACCACCAGGCTAACCCATCCTCCCACCCCCCCCCCCCTCCAGAACCCTGTTTTTTTTCAGAGTCCATCGTCTCTCATGGTTCAGTTGATAGCTTTTATATGGACCAACACATTGATCTCCAGACCAATATGATGCCATCATTTATTATCTTCACACAATTCATCCCTTAAAAATAGAAATAGTGCTGTCACAAATAAACTTCCTTATTATAATTTCTACTTTACTAAAAGGTGTGGAGAACTAGGACCACATGAAGTCCACTCAGTTTAATCATTTCCTTATGGACATAGCTTACTGAATACCATGTGTCTGGGGAGTCGTCTGGGATATAAGTATTTTCCCTCTTTAATAGCACATGCTCCTCCTCCCTCCCTGGCTAGAATATAATCTTAAGGGCATGTGGTTGGAGACCACCATATATCTTATGGCTACAGTTTCTTCCACATTATTGTTGCGTAGCTGGTCATCTCTAGCTGTATCACAGATCTTTGAAGTAGACCTGTCAATCTGAACTTTGGAAATTATATACTCCATTCTGTTCCTGAGCCCAGTCGGGATTTGTGGGAGCTATTTAATGGCTCCCAGTGATGGGCTAGTTAGTTAGTTCCAAGTAGCATCTCCCCCTGTATTCCTCAGGCAGCCATTGGTGTACACGCAGTCCTCGTATCCAGTAAGTGGGAGAATTAGGAGTAGACCTGCACCTTTTGCCAAAACCGAGTCCAATCTTTGGTACTTGATATGGATATTATAATATAGGACTGTTATGAGCATCCTTGATATCTGGTGCTGGTGTCTAATCCCTTTAGCTCAGACTCAGAGAAAACATTTAGATAGGGTGGGACTATGCTTTAGGACAACAGGAGCCAGGGAGTCTCAGGGTTTGGGAATGGATCATCTCTCTCATGGGTCCAGTTAAATGATCAGGTACAATCAACCCTGTTCCAGGTGATAGAGATTTGATAAGTATAATGTTCACGATCCCCACATATATTTTCTCTCTTAACTGCAGTAGAGCCTTCTATTTATTATTACTTTTAAGCTTAGTCTTTGCATAGGCTATCCAAGTTCTGGATTTTGCCTGGCGTTTTACTCAGTACCATGATTTCCCATCCCTCAATTGTTCTAGAATAAAGTATGTATCTCCAACTGTTGGGATATGTATTATTCTGTGTCTGAAGCCTCTACACTAATTAGATAACTTGGCATAGAGCCAAATAAGCAATTTAATATTTTCCTGAGAAAAGTCTATTACTATAGGTGTTATGAGTCACCTAAGATGTCTAGGGCAATGACCATGATCATTCCTTCAAGGTAAAACTATAGCCGATGTTTTTTGTACTAAAATGAGGACTGTTGGCTTATTGGCTGTAACCTTATTTAAATTGGTATTATAGCTAGCCCTTCCATAATTAATCTTCAGTGTCTTCAGTGCAGGTAGCAGAGACCTCTTTGAGTTTCTTTCAGAAAGTTTCCATGCAGAGTTACCTCCAGCTATAGCAATATGTGATTGGCATTGAACTTTTGGGTAATACCTGGTCAGAGCTCCAAGCCAAAGAGTCCCCAGAAGAGAGCACTCTACTCACCTTCCTCACTGGGAACTAATACCTGGAATAGTACAATACACATCTTTGAATTACTGAACTTCTTTGTCTTACTACAATAAAGTTTTCTTTGAGAAGACTTTCAAATGAGGATGACTCCCAGAATGTAGCCAATACAACCACTGTTCTCAAGGGAAGAGATGGTAGACTCATTGGTTTGGCAGCAACTCAGTCCAGTTCTTGCCCTGCATCTTTCCAAGTTTGTTTCTGAAGTGGTTGGAGCCAAGTAGCCACTGGTAGAAATTGTTATAGAAGGGATGGTGAAGTCCTATACAAAGAGTAGAAGAGGGTCAGCTAGATGCTTTTCTATAGGTGGCTAAAGTCATCATTCAGTCAACTAGGATGAACTGTGATAGGTAGCTTAAGGTTCTTTTTTGTGTGGGGAGAAAAGGAGAGGATGGGGCAGAGATAATAGTGTATCTTCCCTATTATTATTATCTATTCAGTATTTTCAGGCCTGTTATCTCTGTTAGCCTATAGACTCCTGCAAGGCTACTTGTGACTTGGTGTTCATGAAACATTTGTGTCTCAACCATACCTCACTCTGTACCCCACCCTCCATACCCACAGGTCTGTTACTTGCACATAAAGCTTCCTGTTCCCAAGTGTTCTCAGTAGAGGAAGTGTCCTAATTTGGGGTCATGGGCCTCCCCTTTAGGGGCATTTGTCTCAGAACTGTCTGAAGTTTGGATATAGGTTTGAAAGGCAGACAGTATGGTTGACAAACTCTATTATTTCTCTTGGTGTTTCCTTACCATGACCATTAATGGGTTGCCCATCAATTTGGGCTTTTTTCCAATCTTATCTTTTAATAGCTAGACCAATAGGTCTTTCTACTGAGAACCTCTTTTTTACATTTCCCCCCATTTTCTTCTGTTATTTTGGGAGCTGAAGTTCTCAGAAGTCTTCCTCAACTATCTTTTCCAAAATTGTGCATAGGAAAGACTGCTAGTTATCTACCCCTCTATTCATTCTTCTTTTCTTCTTTATTAACAGAACCCTGATTTGCATGGAGCATATTTGCAATGCGCTTAGCTAAAAAAAAAAAAATGACATTGTCCATCCTCTGCTACCAATAAGGATGACACAGTGTGACAGAGTTCTTGTCAATGAGGGGTAACTAAATGTGTTGAGAGATGTTTCTAGTAAAGCTCCTTAAAAGGGGGTAACTTCAGAGCATGTGCCCTTTTGCTCTTCTTTCTTCGCCTTCTTCCTGCCTGTATCTGAGAGGAGATGTTGTACATAGAACAGTCATCTTGCTGCAATATGACCATGTGAGAAAAGCAAAGTGAAGAGCCTGGGTTACATCTGAAAAGGCTGGGTTAGTAACAGGGAGGATAGGCGCTGTGTGTGAAGTCACACTGCATAATTTTTGCACACTGCCACCACCCCTGCCACCTTAGGTTGTAAAAACATCCCTTTGTCACCCAGATCCATACTACTCCTGTATCTCTAACACTGGTTACAGTAGGACTGTGCAGCTACTGGTTACTCTCACCATCTGAGACATTTTTTTTTATACCTAAATCCTTTAAAAATAGCTGTTGGTACCTCTTTGCCTCAAGTTCAAAACTTGACATTTCTTGTGAATGGAAGGCCTGAGATCCTCCAGTGGAGTATGGTATACAATTTGAAAACAATTCAGTTGGCAGCAAGTTGGTTACCCTCGCCAATTAGATTTTAAAAATGAATATCCACAGAAACTGGCTTTTACAATAGTAGTAATATAAGTGTACCATGAGATGGTTTTACAACACATTACCCATTTTAAATGTAGAGATCCATATTTTAAGTTTTGTGGAGGTGAATTACTCTCTTTTTAGATTCCTTTTTATTTTCAGCCAGTCATTCTAGCTTTGTATTATTTGTAATAGTAAAACATTGGAACAGGTTTAAGACCTACAAATATTAAGGGTTATTGCAACAACTTAACAAAGTTCCAAAACAGTTATGTATTAATTAATTGTGGTCACAAAATAGAATCTACAAGTGCCTCAGTTTACAGAAAGATCATTTCTGTATGTACATATATATAATATCAAGCTGTTACTGTTTTTTTTCCAGATAAATGGGAGAGATAATATAGTCTGAATGTTCTATTTAATTTTTCTGTAATGAGCTGGTGTTAACTTTTTCTGCATAAGAATAATTTTTTAAAAATGAAAAGACGTCCTCTTGATGGCCATTGAACAAGAGAAACAGAAGAGTGTTGCTGAGAAATGCAGGGCATTCAGGAGCAGCAGGGGCCAGGGGATGCCTGCTTTTGCTGCTCAGACACCCAGCTGACAGCCCAGACTGCTCCAGGCCCATGAACTGCCCCTGAGCTGCTTATAGGACCTGCGGGGCCATGAGCCCTGGCTGTGACGCCAGAGATGCTCTCTCTTGTCTGCGTTTACTTCCTCGTGGTGCCTTGCCCCATCCCATGTTAACATGTCTCTCTGATGCTTAAAAAGTGTGCTTTCACTTATTCAAGAAACACTAGAATTGGGGTTATATGCCAAACCCCTGAGTAATGCTGAGAACATTCCAGTGAAGCCAAACAGACCTCCATGGAATTAGTGTATAGTAGGGGGATAGACGCAAACCAGATCATCCCGATGTATAGAATGGGATAACGGCTATGAAAGAATAGGCTGCTAGGAGGTCGAGTTACTGGACAAGTGGGGAGACCCTCGTTACCTTGTGCATTCAGAACTCCCACCTAAGCTGAGAACTGTCGGAGGGGAAAGAGCAGGTATGTGACAGTTACGGTGAGGGGAACAGGTATTCTGGAACAGAGGAAACAGCATGCGTGAGGACCTCCAGATGCTGTGATCCTTATTGCCCCAGTGAAGGGAGCGAGAGGACGGTGGCCGCAGTAGAGAAAGTGGGGAGAATGGCTAGATGAGTTTGCAGAGGTGAGTAGAGGCCAAATCACACAGGACTTTGTAAATTAGGATATGATATTGTCTTTTTTCCTAAGCAGTCACACCATTGAATGGTTTTGAGCTGAAAAAATACCTGAATCAGGTTAGTTTTCACACTGGCTGCGGTCCCGGAAATGGCTTGGAGGAAGAGACCAGCGAGGGATTGGAAAGAACCATGATCAGGAAAGGGCCGGTCATTTCTATAGCTACTCTATTTAAATGAGGCGATTGCAGAATCTGGCCGAGTGTTTGTAACCTTGGCCGACTACTAGTTAGCATTCTCTGCTCTTGAAATGGCTGCCCATCTGCTTCGTTCTTCCCTGTATGGGTTCCCAAGTTTGCCATAGATAAACTTTTGGACAGTGGTCATGTCTGAGTTATGAGGTAAATTCTTTGCTCTTCCCATAGCATTGAAGCCACAGCTATGAAAACAACTAACAAATATGGGAGCTTACTAGGAGCCACACACTGTAGTAGGCACTGGCATATGGAGTGAGTAGAGTCCCTTCTCTCATGGAACTTACTGGACTGGGAGCAAATATTAAATCTTGCCAGTATGATTACAAACTGTGAGATGATCATGTCAACTTGTCTAACTTGTCTAAGGAGCAGCAGGGGCCAAGGGATGCCTGCTTTTGCTGCTCAGACACCACAGCCGACAGCCCAGACTGCTCCAGGCTCATGAACTGCCCCTGAGCTGCAAGCCACTAACAAAAATCCTAAGGTAGCACTCTTCACGGCTCCCCAACCCAGGGCTGCCTGGTATAATTGTGCATTTGGAGTGTTGCACAGAGATGCCTGGCCAAGGGAGCTAACAGGGTTGAAAACTCTACCAGAATTTCCCTTGTAAACCGAAACCCTGTGCAAGGCTACAGCTGCCCAGAGGAAAGAAAGGTGCCTTGTTCTTTTGTACCGAAGTGTCCTAGAGGTCAGCATGCTCTTCCTCTCATATTAGAAGGGAATTCCTTATTCTCAAGATGGAAATGGCAGGCTCTAGCTTGTAAATGTGTAGCTGCCTTGAGAACAGAAATGTATCTGAGGTGAATGTTATAAGCATGAGTGGGTGTCATTGTAAGCTAAAAAAGAATGGAGTCTAAAGAAGGCCTAGGACATAGATATTTTTTAGGACCTAATTTTAAAACCGATCCTGCATCAGCAGGACTTGGCTCAATGTTACACAGAGCTAAGGCAAGTGGGGAAAGACAACCTAGTGGCAGGACCGTGGAGGAAATAGCTGGTGGTGCATCAGGAGGGTGGTTGTACGGGGTGATGGACTGTGTGCGCATCACACTGGGGGAAGTTGTGTGAGAGGAAAAGGGATCTATCTATAAAATCATGTATTGGGGGGCACCTGGGTGGCTCGGTTGGTTAAGCGTCTGCCTTCAGCTCAGGTCATGATCCCAGGGTCCTGGGATCAGGTCCCACATCGGGCTCCCCCTGCTCTGTGGGGAGCCTGCTTCTCCCTCTGCCTCTGCCTGCCACTCTCCCTGCTTGTGCTGTCTCTCTCTCTCTGTCAAATAAATAAATAAAATCTTTTAAAAAAATCATGTATTGGTTTCTGTTTGCTGAGCCTGGCTAATTAAACAAAGCTTCACTCCCCTAATATTAACATTTTGGTCTCAGTTTTGAAATCATAGACTCTCAGCTTATGGGAGTGGTTCTGCATCTGAGAAGAATCCTGCTGGAATAAACCCAGAAACAAAAAGCAAAGGACGAGAAGCCAGGTATTTTGGAGTCTTGGCTCTTCCCAATAGTTGTATGATCTTGGACAGGTGGAGCAAACCTCTCTTGAGTCTTCATTGTTTCATCTGAAAATAGGAGGCTGCCTTCCTCACTGGGTTACAAGCCTCAAAAGATACTGAGATAAAACTTTGTAAACTGAAAGGAAATAAAAGCATACTTTTTGTCATGAAATGCCAAGTTTCAAAGTTTCAGAGGCCTGACCCTGAGCTGGGTTGAGCTGCCTGGGTTCGCTGAACCTCTGCCTTGGAGTGGTCCATTTCTGAGGGCGGGTCTGGGCTCATCTGTCTTCTGGCTATGTCAAGGGTTTGGACTACACTCTAGCATTGATGCCTGAAAAAATTTTGTCATATAGACCCAAGACAATAGGTTATTTCCTGATTCAGACAGGTTATGTTCTGACCATTGGACATCTGTCTCCTCACGGAATCTGGGGTCAGTTGAGATCTCTTTTCCTTTAATGGGGATTGTAAAATCGAGGTAACTCTCAGGCACCAGCACCACCCTTAACAGATGCATTAGAGACCCCTCTCCCCTTGGTTGCTAGTTTGTTGGGCATCACAACCCACACAGGACTGGTTCACTGCTCCTCAGGCTCAGTCCCTCACTTGCCCTCCCTCCGACAGATACTTTGAGTTAGTGATGATCATAGAAAACAGTGGCAAAGGTAAGTAGAAGCATCTACATCAGCCTTTTTTTCCCTCTCTGGTGGTCATTACTGAAATGATAGCAGCCAAAATGAAGTTTGATCCCTCTAACTTCTCACTAGAGCAAGAACCCTAAAAGGCATTTCAGTGCACCTTCCCACATGCATAGGAAGATTGCCTTCCCCTCTTTCCAAGTTGTTAAGATGGAAGTATAATGTTCAATCCATGCCCATCCATAAGGATGTTGAGTTCAGTTTGTGTGAGGACACTACGAAGGTCAGCAAATTGGCCAGGTGGTCCAGGTGAGAGGAAACGTGCCATCCACAATGAACAAGTACAGCAGAAGGCTAATAACACCACTGTGCATGTGGTTATTCATGTAGCAAGGTGGTTATCACCAGGCCAAAACTACAAAAAGATCCTTGAAAGCAAAGCCAAATGGAAGGAAAATATCTCCGTGTCTTTGTGAAGACCCACGGGGAGGTTTCTTTGTCTTCACACCAAAAATGATTTTGATTCTCATGAATGATAGCTTTATTTCATGGAGATCTTGATCTTGTAACAGATCAAGTTCCCCATTTTCATGGGCTGCTCTGATCCCCAGAGCACACATATGACAGAAAAATATGCAAAAGATGTGAACAGATCACATACACACACAAAAGATATAAAAATAGCCTATAAACATAGGAAAAGATATCCAGTCTTACTCAGAGAAATGAAAATTAAAATCACAAATACCATTTCTCACCTTTCAGACTGGGAAAAATTGCATCGCATAATATTCTGATGCAAAGTTATGAGGAGACTGCTAACCCTCATATGTTGTGGGTAAAAATGCAAACCAATGAAAGCACTGTGGAGGAAATTTAACAGTATTTAACAAAATGACATAATTATTTACCTTTTGAGCCAGCAATTTCACTTTTGGGAATGCACCCACTTGTGGGAATCTGTATCTCCAACAATATAACAATATGTGTCATGAGAATATTCACTGTGGCATTGTTTGTAATTGCAATACTGAGAACAACCTATCAGCCCAGGAAATTTAAAATGACTGTGATTAATATGCTAAGGGCTCTAAGGGGTAAAATAGCATGCAAGAAGAGATGGGCAGGGCGCCTGGGTGGCTCAGATGGTTAAGCATCTGCCTTCGGCTCAGGTCATGATCCTGGGGTCCTGGGATCGAGTCCCGCATCGGGCTCCCTGCTGGCGGGGAGCCTGCTTCTCTCTCTGCCTCTGCCTCTCTCTCTCTGACTCTCATGAATAAATAAATAAAAAAAAAAAATTTAAAAAAAAAAAAGAAGAGATGGGCAATGTAAGCAGAGAGATGGAAATCCTAAGAAAGAACCAAAAAGAAATACTTGCAATAAAAAACACTGTAACAGAAATGAAAAAAAAAAAAATGCCTTTGGTGGGCTTATTAGTGGACTGGACACAGATGAAGAATCCCTGAGCTGAGAATATACCAATGGAAATCTCCCAAAACTGCAAAGGAAAGAGAACAAAAACTGAAAAAAGCAGAATAGAATATCCAAGGACTGTGTGATAGTACAAAAGTTGTAACATACATATAATGGAAATGTCAGAAGGAGAAAAGAGAAAGGAACAGAAGGAATATATGAAACATTAATGACAGAATTTCCCGCAAATAAACGTCAGGCACTAACCACAGATCCACAAAGTCTAGAGAATACAAAGTAGGATAAATTTTTAAAACCTACTCTACCTTGGCATATCATTTTCAAATTACAGAAAATCAAAGATAAAAAATCCTGAAAGAAGTCAGAAGACAATCTACAAAATTGCAACTTTTCTTGAACTCCTTAGATAGTTAAGGTTACAGGACAGCTGGTTATTCTAACTCTAATGAAATACAGGAGTTTCTAAAAAGAGACCAGACACAAACACTCACTCACTTACAGAAAAGCACAGGAAGAATATGGGGTCAGATCATAAGCAGGGAAGAAGGTTTCAGCTAACACATTTATCCAGTAGCTAAAGTCTGAATGTGAATGTGGGATAATCTGAGAGAACAGGATCCCAAGAAGAGAATCTGAGAGATAATCTGAGAGAACAGAAATAAGGGATTTCATACTTGCAGGCTTTTCTCAATGGACCCCCACAAGGTTTTCATTCACAAAGAAGTCTGGTTGGAAGAGCAGGGGACTAGAGGAGAAAGTATCCTTGTGGTACAGGCCTGGAGGAGGGGAGCAGTCTCTGTTGCAGGAAAGGCAGGAAGCCTTGTCTGGAAATGCAGCCGCTGGGCCAAGGGCAGCATCCCTATGACTCCCAGGGCGTAGGTGAAGACTGATTATGGCTGGGAGGAGCAGGAAGAAAAAAAGTCCTCATGGGCTCAGAACAACAAAGGTCTCCTACTGCTGGGGGAGGACAGGGTCACTGAGGTCTCACCCCTGAAATTCAGAGGCATAGGGCCTGCCTAAAACTGAGGTGGGACCAAGGCATCCTGCCCCAACTCGGCAAGCAAGCACTGGTTGTAAGAAGCACTTGCCATCTACCTCTAGGGGAGGAGCAAGAGGGTGGAGAGATATCCTCCGAAATGCAGGCAAAGGCAAACAGTCAAGGCCTAAAGCTAAGAGTGGAGCAGGAACATTGAGAAAAAGGTAAACCTGTCCCAGCATAAGTACAGGGGAACACTAGAATTGGAAGCCATTGGTGAACTGAAACTAATAGAAAACCAAACCAAACCAAACCAAACCAAGGAGTGCCTGGGTGGCTCAGTCGGTTAAGGGTCTGCCTCCGGCTCAGGTCATGATCCTGGAGTGCCGGGATTGAGCCCCACATTGGGCTCTGCACTCACTGGGGAGCCTACTTCTCCCTCTCCCTTGGCCCCTCCCCACTCATTTTTTCTCTCTCTCACTCTCTCTCAAATAAAATCTTAAAAAAAAACCCAAACCCAGCTCAATTCCTAACTAAATTGACTCACCCTCCCACAATACTTACGGCCTAGCAGAAGAAGAGTGCCCAATTCCAGGCATAAATACTATGTACCTCAGTCATTACTGTCCTACATATAATGTCTGCCTTTCAACCAAAATAAAAAATACAAAAAGGGGACGATATAAAAATATAATCCATTATCAGCCAAAGTAAGCAGCAGAACCAGACTCTATATGATTAACATGTTGGAATTATAACTTAAATAATATGGTAAAGGCTCTAGCGGAAAAGGTGGAAAATGTGTGAACAGGGGGGAGTTTTAGCAGAGAGATGGAAACTGTAAAAAAGCGTCAAATAGAAATAACACGATAACAGACAAAATATTACATTTATGGTAAAAATACAGCAAACAAGGAATAAACAAAGCTATTTCTTCTGTGATAAAGATATCTACAGAAAACCTACAGCATCATACTTAACTAGTGAAAGATTGACTGCTTTGCTGGTAAGTCAGAAATGAAGTAAGGATGTTTACTCCCAAAACCCTATTCAACATCAAACTGAGTTCAATAAGATAAGAAAAAGTGATTTTGTACATATTGAAAAGGAAGAAATAAAAACTGTTTCTCTTCATAGATGAATGATTTTCTATACAGAAAACCCCCAAATTCTACAGAACAGATACTGGGACTCATAAGTGAAGGTATCAAACCACAAGATACATGGTCAGTATAAAAAAAATCAGTTGAGTTCTATATCGTAAAAGTCAGTGATTAGAAATGTAATTTTTAAAAATAGTACCATTTATATATAATACACTAGACATGAAATACTTGAGTATAAATCTAACAAAATATGTGTGGGACTGTATGCTGGAAACTACAAAATAGATGAAAGAAAGCAAAGCCCTAAGTAAATGGAGATAGATTGGAAAGCTCGATGTTGCTAAATGTCATTGCTCTCCAAATTGATCTAAAGGTTAAACACAATTCTAATCAGGAACATTATAGGCTTTGTTATACTTGTTATATATAGACAAGTAGATTGTAAAATTTATATGGAAATGCACAGGACCTAGAATACCCAGAACAATTCTGAAAAAGAACAACAGTGTTGAAGCACTTGTATTTCCTGATTTTGATACTTGCTGGGAAGCCACAGTAATTAAGCCACAGTGGGCTCAGTGAAAAAACAAACACGTAGAGGGCAGGAATAAGAGAGTTTTATTAGCTTATTCTGGAGTTGAAAATTTCAGATTCATCTTTTCAGCTTTCTGGTAGATGCTTTCAGTTTGTAGATTGGTGTTTATTTTATTTCTTCAGTTATAGCTGCTCCATATTTTGTATTTCTTCTTTAAGGACTCCAAGTTTACCCATGTTGCTTTGCTTGTCTTCTGTGTCAACGGTTTCCTTCCTGACCCTTTTTACTTTGCTATCTCATTTAATGTCTTGGCTGTTTGCTTGTATTTCTTTAGTGCCACTTACTAAATTTACATTTGAGCCTGTTCTGCCTTGGGTGCTGTAGCTGGTCAAATGGTGGCCCCCCAAAAAGATAGGTCCACTCAAAGACTGTCAATGTGACTTTTTTTGGGAAAGGACTTTGTACAGTTGTAATTATGGTATAGATCTTGAGATGAGATCATCCCAGATGACCTGGGTGGGCTCTAATTCCAATGGCAAGTGTCCTTAAAAAAGAAGGGGAGCAAACATAGAAAAGAAGAGAATGTGAAGTTGGAGGCAGAGATGACAGTGATGCAGGTACAAACCAAAAAGCCCAGGGATTGCTGGCAGCCACCAGAAGCGAGGAGAGAGCTCCAGAAGGAACCTGCCTTGCTAACATCTTGATGGCAGACTTCCAACCTCTAGAACTGCCAGAGAATCCATTTCTGCTGTTTCCAGGCACCCAGCCTGTGGTGATTTGTTCAGGCAGCCCTAGGAAACTAACACACTTAACTTCTTAAAATTGACTCTTCAGGGCCTCTTCAGTGGCTCAGTCGGTTAAGCTTCCGACTCTAGATTTTGGCTCAAATAAAGGTAAACCTGTCCCAGCATAAGTACATAAGTCATGATCCAGCATAAGTCGTGAGATCCAGCCCTGCATCCAGCCCCACATTGGGCTCTGCACTGGGTTTGAAGCCTGCTTAAGATTCCTTCTCCCTCTGCCCCTCCCCACCCACTCTTTCTCTTAAAAAAAAAAAAAAAAAATTTACTCTTTAAGCCTGAGATGATTTTTCTTTTGTTATATTTATTTCTTGAGTTCAGGCAACTCTCTTAATTTCTTCCTGTTCTTTTTCCAAATCCATTTATGTTTTTAATTTCTGATTATAGGCAGTTTTTTATATCTCCAAGCACTTTTTGAGGTTATTTAGTTTGGTCTTTTCTTCTGCTTCATGGCTGTTTTATGTTGTTTGGATTTGTTTGTTTGTTTTCTATCTCCCTTGGAATGGTGGAGGATTTTATCACTTGAGATGTATTAATTCTCTTTTTCTTTACCTTTAAGTGAATTTGCATAGATTTGTTTCATTTTCTTCAATTCTTTTTGTGGATTTGGGGTGGTTTACAAGAATCTGGGTTTAACAGTGCCTTCTGTCAATATGTGGCAAAGTACAGCTTTTTAATGTTTGTTTTGGTGGTTAGGGAGAGATTGTCTGTCTTCCATGTGAAATCCAAGCCTATGATGTGCACTGAAGAATATAAACTTTTATCTTAAGGCCCTCACCTTTCCAATTCTGTGTGGTTGAAACATATTGCCTTCTCAGGAAGAGCTTCCAAAAGCATACAGCATTCTTGCATTACCCCAAGTGCTCACCTCACATTTCCTTATATGGGACACTTTCTTGGAACCATCCCCACCTTCACTCCCTGCTTCCCTCTCTCTTTCTAGAAACCACTGTTTGGATATTTCCCACAAAAACAAGAAAATGTAAACCAAGAAGGAACAATTGGGGGCAGCAGAGAGGAACAGAATTCAAAGAGCAGAGGGGGGCAAAGGGAGTTCCTGAGAGGAGGATGAAATGAAGTCCCAGGACAGTATTGTTTAGTGTAGGATTAGAGATCACCAGCTCTGGAGGGACAGTTCCCCCACAGGCCCCCTCAAAACATGAAGGTAGTATCTAATATTTATAAGTAAATATATTGAGAAAAGTTTTATAGTTCTGTCAGAATTGGGGGATAAACTAGTGATACTACAAAAGAACACTAAGCAAGCAACAACAAAAAATGTGGGGCACCTGGGTGGCTCAGTTGGGTAAGCATCCGACTCTTGATCTCAGCTCAGGTCCTGATCTCAGGGTTGTGAGTTCAAGCCTTGCACTAGGCTCCACGCTGGGCATGGAGCCTACTTAAAACAAACAAACAAACAACAACAACAAAAAAACATTAACTCTGGCATAGGAAGAATTTTAAAAAAAGAAAATGTAACCATGAAATATGGCTCACCTAATAACATTTATATAACAAAAAAT